TAGGTGGCTCGCAGCTGAGCCGCCAACTGACTCCGCATGGAGCCGCCAAATGACTCCGCATGGAGCCGCCAAATGCTAAATATATAGGTATGCGGAAAACCAGTTGAGAGCATATATTCACGTATGAGCCAGAAACGTGAGTTGAGATAGAGGGTGGGAGGGTGGGAACAAAAACGTTCTGCGAGTTACAAGCTCAAAAGTCAACAACAGCAATGATCCTGCAAGAGACCTTGCACGGGATCGTTTTGGGCGCACGCCCGAGAGGTTTGCGCATGCGCGTAAATCGGGCCAGCTCGCTGGGCTGGCTGCTAACTTGCGTTAGCATGCTAACGCTCATTTAGCATCCCCCCACCTCACAACAGAGCAACAGTATGTTGGGTTACGCCGGGAGTGCCGATACGAGCAACTGGTTAAACTATCGAGCATGCGTATGATGGCCCCGCTTGGAGCCGCTAGGTGGCTCGCAGCTGAGCCGCCAACTGACTCCGCATGGAGCCGCCAAATGACTCCGCATGGAGCCGCCAAATGTTAAATATATAGGTATGCGGAAAACCAGTTGAGAGCATATATTCCATAAATCGGCACTCCCGGAACGGGCCAGAGAAGTTAGAACAGTTACCCGTGCAGGCTGTAAGCAGCTCAAGCTAGTCAGAATTTGATATCAGGGGCTGAGGCCATTGCCGCAGCCACCCGTGCCTTGGCTGCAGTCGGCGTACGAATGTACCTCAGGCAGGCATCGCTCTTCCATCTGCCCGCCTCTCTGATTACGGAGTCTGGCAGCCCGGCCAGCGCTGCTGTGGTGGCGGCACCTATCCGGAATGAGTGGCCAGCATACAATGCCGAGTCAAAGCCGCAACTGGTGAGCAGCATCCTCACAGTTGCCGTAAATGCCGGTCGTGATAGAGGCTGACCATTACTCAGCACAAACAGGGGCCGGTCCGGGCTGGCCGAGCTGCGAGTTCCCAGCAGGTATTGGAGAAGCGCGGAAACTGCACAATACGGGGGCGATGCTGGGCCTATTGTTATGGTTACCCCTCGGCCAGACGGGTCGGTCTTGGAAGTGCGGAGGAATATGAGTGCTGCCCCCTGCTCGAACTTGACGTCGCGACGACGTACTATGCTAGTAAATTCCGCGCATCTCAGGAACCCATAGAAAGCACTCAGCATGGCTGCAACATAAAGACGTTTATCACTGTCATTCAGGGTAGTGCAGCGATGACAGGCATCAACCAGTTGGTGCACCATACGCACTGTGATTGGCAACCGGGGACGAGTGGCTGAGTTCCCGTGGCAACGGTCTATGCCTTTCAAAACTCGGCCCAGTAGCCAGGTGTCGCCCAGAGGGTCCGCATGGCCCGCTTCTAGGTGTAGGTTGCGTACAGCAGACAGATACACACGAATAGTACTGGGCTGGACTGACCTGGCTAGGTAGGCAGCAAACATGCTCAGTATAACATCAGTGGCAGGAAATAACGAGAATTGATTGAGAGAGCAAAATTGTATGTAGCGGCTTTCGCCTGCGTGATAGGTGCGCCGAGTGTTTGGGGCGATAGCCTGTGATGCATAGTAAGCTACATCAGCTGGTGCGGCAGACGGGCCGTGTCTGCCTCCATGCGAGCTGACGGTGCTGCTTTGCGGAAGTCCTGCATGCAGAAACGAGAGAGACGATCGGCGATAGTGTTATTGGCTCCTGGAATATGCTTAGCAGAAACAGTGAAATTGTGCCCAGCGCATACAAAGAACAGCTCCCGCAGCAGAACCATCAGTGCTGGAGATCGGGAGGTGCCGGAACGGATACACTCCACTACCACCATGTTGTCGCAGTGAATTAATATTCGCAGCTGAGGCCACTCGCTTCCCCAGGTACTGCAGGCTGCCACAACTGCAAACAGCTTTTTCCAGTCGATGCTATGCTCTGCTTGGCTGTCTGTCCACCTGCCCTCTATACATCGGCCGGAATTGTACGCGCCCCAGCCAATGGCACCACTTGCATCGGTGTATAGTTGCAAGTCCGGGGACGGCGTCCAGTTGGGATGTAAGAAGAACGACCGGCCGTTCCACTGGTCCAAGAGCTTGAGCCACCAGCGCAAATCTTCGAGGCACTCTTCAGAGAGCTTGATCCGGTAATAGGGCTGCTGGTACCGGCTGGCAATTGACCACAGTCTGCGCATGAATGTGCGTCCTGGGACTACCACTCTCGCGGCAAACGAGAGCTTTCCCAGAAGAGACTCGAGTTGACGTTGCGAAATTGACACTGAGTACAGAGTGGCCCGTAGGAGGTCCCGAAGCTCGGAAAGTTTGTCCATAGGCAGGCGGGCTTCGAGGCGGCGGGTGTCAAGAATAATGCCGAGAAAAGTCAGGACTTGAGCTGGACCCTCCACTTTTGCTGGGGCCAGGGGTACGCCGAGGTATGTGAAAGCACGCAGCAGAATAGCGAGTTGCTGGTGGGCTACTACAGATCCAGAGCATGCATTGAGAAAGTCGTCGAGATAGTGCAGCAGGTGTGGGATAGCGAACTGCTCTTGCATTATCCATTCTATGGCGGATGCGACAGAGTCAAATATGGCAGGGCTTGAGCGTAGTCCGAAGGGGAGAACGCGCTCGTAGAAGTATTGACCCTGCCAGCGGATGCCCAACAGGGGCCAATCCTCCGGGCGGACAGGAATTTGGCGGAATGCACTTTTGACATCGAGCTTAGCAAGATATACTGGGGCAGGCAATTGCATGATAAGATTAACAGCATCGTCAATAGTGACATAATGGAGAGAAAAGGGGTCTGCTGGGATACAATCATTGACACTCTGACCCTCCGGGCTGGACAAATGGTGTATCATTCGTAATTTCCCGTTCTTCTTGGGAACCGCGCCTATCCCAGAGCAGCGCATAAATGGAAAAGGGGGTGAAGGAAAGGGGCCAGCTGTTTCATGCCTGCTGCAGGAAGCGTGAAGTTGTGCAGAAATAAAGTCAGGGTTTGCATGTGCAGAGGGTAAATTCTGTGAATCACAGTTAGTGGAGCGGTTGCCAGTGAAACCTACATCAAAGCCACATCTGAGCCCATGTACAACATACTTCACGAAAGTAGGATTAGGGTGTGAGGCTAGCAAACTTGAAAAACGGGAAACTGAGAGTGGTGTATGACTATGGGTGTTGCTAGTGCCTATGCAGGTGCATCTGATAGAGTCAGTAGTGGTGCTTACGCAGGGTGTACATGGTGTATGAGTGATGCTAGTGCCTGTACGACTACCATAACTGGGGACCGAGTCGACACGTGTGCTTACACAGTTACTCTCTGGGTCGCGTGCATAGAGCCCTGGGGTGCTCCTTTCGGCACCGGAGGCAGATGTGAGCGAAGCGGCACTGCTTGAACTGGCATTTTCCAGCGTTGTAGTTGCGGCATATGGGCTGACTAGTTGCTGCATTCTTGGACGCGAATCCATTGGTGGACTGGCGGTTGGCCCGAAAAGGGCACGGAAATGCTGGGGGGTGCACGAGGCTGCATTGCTGGCAGGCGGGTCGTGCCTTTCCGGTGAAGCAGAGCTGCCACAGGTTGATGTCGATGGCATCTAGTTTCTTGCCAAATTGCGAAGCAGTGGCCGAGCGGAGCTGACGGTCGTACGAAAGCCATGCTTCGGGTAGAAACTGACGATTGGCTGCGGCAATCGTGGCCTGGTACGATAGGCACTCATGGAGACGGTGAGGAGCAGCAGAGCACAAACCATGCATGTATAGGGTCCAGGCCTCAACCCATGTGCTAAAATCATGCACTCTACGACGGACAGTTCTGGGCTCAGATTCAACCAGTTCTAGTGCGCCGGATGAGCTGCCGGATGCACGGAGTTGGAATGCCATCGGCATCTAAGCCGCACTAGAACTGGCTGTGATTGTGTCTGGGAGCAAACAATCAAATTCCACGAACTCACCTCTCTGTATGCGGTCGAGGAGAGCCCGTGGTAGCGTCAGGTTCACCTGGTGGGGCTGTTCGTGCTGCATGCTGTTCGTTGCTGTGTTCACAGCAGGGTTGCTGGCGGCAGGCGGCGGTGCTGAGCCAGGCAAGACGAGGAGAGGCTGGACAGCATTGGCGACAGCAGTAGACACAGCCCGTTGAACCTCCTCGGTGATCATGGCCTGCATCGTGGGGGTATCCGCGCTGTCCAGAGCTAGGCTGGGGCTGGTGGCTGCGCGGACAGGGGTGGACGTGCGAGCGGCAGTGCGAGATCTTTTCGTAACGCCAGACGAAGTTGCAGCCGGAGGCTCGACAGTTGCGGGGGCATTGGCCCCGCTGCGGCGTTTCCCGCGAGTATCCATGGCTCTAAATGCCAGCACGCGGAAAGGAAATCGGTAATCGCAACAAAACGTTGAAAGGGAAAACAAAAACGTTCTGCGAGTTACAAGCTCAAAAGTCAACAACAGCAATGATCCTGCAAGAGACCTTGCACGGGATCGTTTTGGGCGCACGCCCGAGAGGTTTGCGCATGCGCGTAAATCGGGCCAGCTCGCTGGGCTGGCGCGGCATGGCTGGCTGCTAACTTGCGTTAGCATGCTAACGCTCATATAATGTTTACGTACATTATAGATCGACAGCGTATGTACACATGCGCACTACTGTACTTTGTCGTTTTCCTCGTGACGCTTGATGTGCCACTTGCACTGCACTTTGTAGAAGTACGCGGTTGATCTGTATGTACATGTATGACTGTGTCAACACGGCCCCATGCTTTGTGCTGGTCTGGTGCCGCAATTTCTAGGACGCAGTATAATAATAATAATAATAATACTCGCAGTAAGTAATCCTTATCATAATCGACAATCGAATCGTGCAAGGGTAGGTTAACCGATAGTTGAAAAGTGTAATCGTTTCACCCCTACTAGTAACCCATAATTCTGTCTTGCACGTGTTTGCGGACCAGAATCACCTATTCACAATGATCTCCCCCCCCCCCCCCCCCCCCCCCCACCCACACACACACTCCCATTATAACAGTCATAATGTTAGTCTGACTACATGTACTAGTATACAACACATGGAAACTACATGTATACCGGTAATTATGCTTTCAATGCTCTAACTACAGGACTGCTTATTGACATCCAGTCAAGTTTCTCAAGTACACGCCGGGCTTTGCACAGTAGGCATATGCGAACACTGACTGGGCTGCGAAAGGTGCACGGTGCCAACTTGACTCTCACGACTGGATTTCAGTGAGCAGCACTGTACAAAAAGTGAGCGCACACAACACACAGGACTTGTATTAGTCGAAAAATTCATGGGTAGGTAAATCTCATCCAAGTGTTTGCATCAAAACACAAGAAAACAAAGTGACTACAAGCAGTGCTCACCTTGAGCTTGGCATGGAGTCTTGTGTGGATGGCTGGACTCCAGTCCTTCAACCCACTGCATGTAGTGCTGTGGAACCCAGCCGTGCATACTGACTTAGCCAACAAGGCTTGCGCTAGCCGAGGTGATATCCTGGATATGCGCTGCAGAAATATTCTGGCATCTTCTGCTGGAATCATGTGAACGTCCCGAGACCTTGTACTTTGTAGTGACTGCTGGGACTGTCAGCGACCCAGCTGCGAGCATGCTGTTGCTATTGCTGGTGTTGGTACCTACATCTTTTGCCGCGAGTGAATGCACCCGGAAACTGAGCAGATGAAAACGAAGAAATTCAATGTCATGTCATTAATTTTAGGTACCTCATACATTGTGCTGATGATATGCAGCTTCAAGAGGCGAACAAAGCCCACTCAGTCTCTCCTCGCCTCACAGCTCGCAGCTCGGGTACACACTATAACGTTACGAGTACTCGGTCAACTTCTTACCTACATGTAGCGGCTCGCCAACCTTTGTGGAATTTCCTTCCCTGTCACTACCGGTAAACCGTATTTGTTACGGACAGGGCGCAAAACGAGCAGTAAAGTAAGCAAGCACAAGCTACATTGTGCTTCTCAGTTCAACTACGACAACGAGTAGATCTACGAGCAGCGGCTCAGTGCAGTCTTTCCAGACCCAGTGAACCAAGTACAACTAGTAACTGAACTGACTAGCATTTACCTACTACAGTACAGTACCTGGGAGGCGACACTGCAGAGCCTGAGGAAGTGAGAAAGTTGTCGCCGGGTCTCATTGGTCCCGCCATTGTCATTGAAAAGTGCTGAAAGTCACACAGATACCTCACTACCAAACCTAGTACAGTGGATATTGTAGAGGAGACGCTTCAAACCCTACCACTGCTTCGGAGAAAGTAACAAAACGCTATTAAAAGTAACAGTTAGTTGGTATTTTGTGTCCGCAAAGCATGGAACTTTTTGTTACAAGGTCACAAAATGCAACAAAGTAAGTAAAGTACAATGGCATGATACTTTGATAGTCTACAGCTACTACTACTAGTAGTGTGTGCATTCTACAGGAGATGGGAGAAGATTGACAGTGCATCAGTTTGGTGAACACGAGGTACACATACACTAGCTACATGTACCGGTGTGTAGAGTAACACACTCACATTAGTCGTTACTTCGAGCTGGTAGGAAGTCGGAAGGTTTGACCTTGTTGCAGACTGTCAGTCGAGGAAGAATTGCTATATTCGCTAATTATTTGGTAGCTTTTTTTAAAATTCCGGCCACAGATCGAAACTCATTATTATAGTCATAGACACATTGCGCAAGATCCACTGCAGCAAAACCTCTGTGTGTGTGTGTGTGTGTGTGTGTGTGTGTGTGTGTGTGTGTGTGTGTGTGTGTGTGTGTGTGTGTGTGTGTGTGTAAGGTTTTCCAGTCATAGACACAATTACCGGTATTATTATTACAAAGGCACACAATGAAAACCTCGGGCAAACTCCGTTGTGACTCAGAGTGTCATGGCTGAACGAATTATCATACAGTTGTGTGCCTTTGTGTACGCCGCTCTGCCTGGATCAGGTATTGAGCACATTCGCAGAACCTAAGCTACTACTACCTCTGTGTATAGTCCTAGACAGTATTCTAAGATCCTCAGACTGTCACGGTATTGTGCTCTATGTCCAGTGAACAGAGGCAGTAATACAATAGTCAATACTCACACAACAATGACACAACCAAGTCCTTTTCTTGGTTGTGTCATTGCTAGCGTGAGGATTGGATCAAAACTCATCAGCTAATAAAATTATTATTCATGTATGGATGAACATTACAATAACTATGATCATTCCGAGGCTGCAGTGGAAGGCTCAATTCAAGCTTCTATTCGTAAACATTTACAAAAAAACATGTATCGTGAAAATTTGAAAATTTATAATTGAAATGAAATCCAAAATCATTGGAGTAGAAGATCGGAGTGGCACATTCCTCAAGTAAAGTCCATATAGCTCTACTGATCTAAAGAATGTGTGAACTATTCACCTATCAACCGATTCAACACTGATACAGTCCACACACTCGTGACACAGTGCTAGTGCAGATAAGAATAATCTGTTAAAAAGGAACAAGGCTAGGTTGGAGATCAGCAGTGCTGTATCATCACAGACATTTAACTGTGTTTGCTCACAGTGGAAGGTTCACACAGCACAAAGAGACCATGCATTACAAACGTCACACAGTCAAACATGAGAGCGCATATAACAATGTTGAGCAGGTTAGTTACCTGCATGAGAAAACACACTGAAAACCACCACCGATACAGACAGTGACCAGTTAGTCCTGCCTACATATCATATCCTTCATGCGCCCTGCATCAGCCATTACTCTGCTGGTAGAGACTGAGTAGGTCAGCTTGCTGATTTAGATCAGTGGTCCGCAGAGACCCAGCTTGCCAGTATCCACTCCAGCCATCCAAACACATCCACGGTCAATGCCAGTATCCACTCCAGACAGCCAAGCACATCCACGGTCAATGCCAGTATCCACTCCAGACAGCCAAGCACATCCACGGTCAATGCCAGTATCCACTCCAGACAGCCAAGCACATCCACAGACAATGCCAGTATCCACTCTGGGCAGCTATACCTAACCAGTTCAACAGCTTAGCATGATTTTCACGTAAGCTTTAATGAACCAGAATCTTACACGACCGTATATGGTTCACAGTGGGCCGCGTGTAACATGCACACACGGTACTTGCAACAATGATAGATGCACTGGGCAGGATGAGGAGGCGGTGGTAAGTCCAATGTCCGGCGAGTTTGTCACGGTGGATAGTTCACGGCACACTGCAGCGGTCCAGATAACGACAGTGTCGGTTGTGCTGGTGCAGTGTTTCCTGCTCACATGCCGCCCACACCACCACACGATTGTCCCTGGTCTTGTCGGTGTGCAGCAGCTGTAGTTGACTGATAACATACTGATCGGAGCACAGTGCAAGTCTGTGCTGACTGCCAAGAGCGGAGACATTCACGTCACGATGTAGTGAGCAGGACAGCTGTCCCAGGAACGGACAACCCTGTCTTAGATCACTGCTGATGATTAGAATATCCGCACAGGACCTGGCCACCCACAGAGCATTGTCAAAGGCTAAGATGGATGTGCAGGACTGTGGTAAGTAGCCCAAGCTACCTTCAAGACAGAACTCACGTTGTGCTGGTGATCCAGTGGCTTCACCATCATACATCGTTCTGCTGCGTTGTTTGTCCCGCAGGGCACCGCCACCATTTCTGATGACTTTATTGCATTCTTCGTCGTCGGAGTTGATCTCCTTCATCACATCCATCTTGCCCTGCAGCAATGGAGAGCTTGTGGACCGACCCGCAAAGGTGAAGCTATCACGTGACATATCCACCTCTGGGGCAGACTTGCGGCCAGCTCGAGGAGACGAGTCTGAGCCGCTAAACGTTGTGACGCTCGTTTCCACTTTGCTTGTGCTGTGAGGCCTTGTGAGATGTGGTCGTACTGGAGCATCGTCACGTCCCACCATAGTGCTAGCACGGTCTCGATGACCTTCTGGCAATGACAGCTGTACTCCTGTCGTCCTGGTAGCAGACCTCTTTTTGGTTGTGACATGCTGTGGAGAACCTATCTTTCCACTGCTGTCAGGCTGCGTGAGCAGTTTGGTGTGGTACAGGAGAGGTGCATCGTTGCGACAATCCACGATTCCCAGCATGTTATGGTGTTGTGGTGAGAGAGCAAGGACAATCGGCTGCCTGCGATCCACAGCCCATACAACTGCATTGCACATCACCATCTCCACTATGCTGCACTTAGCTTGGTACAACTGCAAGAACAGAACCACACACAGACACAACAGAAACGCATGAATTCACACGTACTCATACACATCGGCGTACACACACACACATACACAAACAACAACAACAACGACAACAACAACAACAACAACAACAACAACAACAACAACAACAACAACAACAACAACAACAACAACAACAACACACGCACACACACATTGCACCAATGGTACAACCAAAGAATGCACATTTATAGTCAAAGCAGTCTTGTTTGTACTAGCCACAAAAAATAGACACACGTGTAGCTCACATATGTATCAGCATTGACTTGGGCGAAGTGTGCACACGCCTGGTTTAGTTCTGATGTCGGGAGTCTATCCGTTGCCTTCACTTTTGTCTGGTTTTAGACACATCGCTCTATGCTGGGAATATGAGTGCACAACGAAAGCAGTACTTTGCGGCAAGCACATCTTGACATAGATTCGTACGGTGTCTGCTCCAGAGCCGGGTCAGCGACCCGGTTGGGGGGGGGGGGGGGGTACTTGAACCCGGTTGGAAAGAGAACACCGTGTAACTTGTGACTCGGTTGGGACTCAATCAGGGAGTCCTAAGACTAGCCGATGTACAATAGCCGCACTTGAAAAATTTGAATGTACCCGGGACCGACCCTGTTGCAAGAGTTGTGCAGGGTACTCGTGTACCCGGTTGGTTTGAAATCCTAGAGTGGACACTGTGAAACGTGTATTGAATGCAGAATACACATAACAGAACCCTGTTACAGCATTGATAGGGGGAGCGTGTGTGTGTGTTGGGGGGGGGGTCCCAGGCACCCTTCAGGACTCCACCTTGCTTGTCAGAATTTGTTTCTGACTATTTCAAATCATGCCCACTGCAAGTAAACACAAACGTCAGGCAAAATTCGGGAAACAATGACAACACCAGTTTCCTTGTGTACACATCTACCGTGCTGGCCATGTGGCTCTGTGGCTCTGCTGTTCTGCAGCCTAATAGCAAGTACACTCGTATGTATGTACCTTGAGCGGTGGACATACTGGCTTCAGATCGGTAGCGCTGTAGAAGAACAGCATACGATGACAAGCACACCACACTTCACCGCGCCAGTCCGATGGTGACGTGGCCTGCTGTTTCTCCTGCTGCTGCTGCTGCTGCTGCTGCTGTTTCTCCTGCTGCTGCTGTTTCTCCTGCTGCTGCTGCTGTTGCCGCCAGCCTTCCTGCTGCTGCTGCTGCAACTCAGGTTGGTTGACAGAGCTACACACCTGCTCTGGAGCTCTGTCCTCGCCATCACCGTGATCAACAGCTCCATCATCAGTGATGTTTTTGCTAGGGTCAACACAGGAGTTGTGAGACCTTCCATAGTTAGCGGTGTTGGTGCTGCTGCTGTCTCCTTCTGGAAACGAGTATGTGAATGCCAGCATGGCGCGGAAAGCAACTTTCTCCACCAGTACCCCCAGGGAGTAGTTGTAGCTTGGCCATGGGTCGTTGACGTCGTCTTCAGAGCTGGGACGAGTGAACTTCTCTATGGAGCCATTGTCCAGGGCAACGAACACGGCCTGGCACTTACCACGCTTAGCAGCAGAAAAGAAACAGTCAAACGCAATCCAGGGAGACACACACGACACGCTCGCGTGGGCACACACACACACACACACACACACACACACACACAGAAAAAGGAAGCCACAGAAGGAGACGAGGTTGTGAATCGAGTGCAAGGAGCCAGAAGTCATTATTACCAGTACCATGCACTGACTCCAGGGAAACAGCAAGCAGCACATGAAATACAGGACAATCAGCCTAGTGAAGAATGACCCTTGGCCTCGACTGATCATGAGAAAAGCATTGTCAACCATGAGTTGTTGCTATTCCTGATTTCAAAAGTATGCAGTCATTTTTTACTTCCGAAGATTGTGTCATTATTCGCGAGTTGTTGTTATACCTACGTTACACCTGTTCTACGCACTATAGCCACATTATACCCACGTTATACCCACATTATACCCACCGTGACATTATACCCACATCATACCAACATTATACCCACTTTATACCCACATCATATCAACATTATACCAAACACCAAAGACTCGACCAATGGATTTACAATTCTCTCTTCCGCTCGTTGCTGCTGATCGTGATAGGTATAGGCAGCTTGTTTATCAGTGTAGTTAGTTTAGTTTACGAGGAAAACATGGATGCAGTGAATGGGATTTTCGGTCTTTGACCACATGCTGGTGAGCTGATCTACTCATCTCCCACCGCTTTAGGAGCTGCATTTGCACCTTGATCCTTGAAGGGTGGTGGCGTTCCTACGAATGCAGAAAACTCGGCCTCTATATAGATAAACCGAGTCTCACGCGAGCCGTGAATTTTTTATTTATTTTTTAGTTTAGTTTAGTTTTCTTCTTTTTCTTCTGTTCTTTTTGATGCTGCCGATTCTTCATGAGCCCAATCCTACTTCCAAGTGCCAATGATCTAGATGGTTAGATGGAGACCAGCAGCATGAGTGGAAATCAAATCATACAAATCCTGAATACTGTAAGTGACTGTGAGTCTACAAATTTTCGTTTTTCGACGCCTTAAAGTTTTGGTCTCCCCGGGCTAAAACACATTTCGGCCGCCTTCAAATTTCGGCCTGCACCGCCCCCTGCTGCCTGTCTGCACTTTCACACTGAACCTTGCAAAACAAAATTTCGCCCGCAGCAGATTTTCGGGCAAAATGCCCAGGCCGAAAGTAGCCGAAAATAAATACTTGCCGAATATTTGTTGAATTTCAGTAAGCGGTGCCAGGCACAGCACATTTACTTGAAGTAATAATAATAATAATAATAATAATAATAATAATAACAGCACATTTAGTGTGGTTAAAATGGTGGAAAAAGTCCCAACAACACTGCTACAGTGCTGTCGGTCGCCGAAGAACTGGGGGGGGGGGTCAGCCTCCTAGCCTAGACTGTTCTTATTTTCATGTATTACAGTCTATGCAGAGTTGAGTCACCGTGTATACATGCATATTGATAAGCTGTGCTTTGTGAAATTCTAGGCCGGTGCGTACTGGAGTGGGTTGACTGGATTTCATTGACCAGTACTGTAGCTACAGTGGTGGATAGTTACTTTTAACTTGTATCCATATGGTCCTTT